GCTCGCTCTATATTGCCTCACAAGACTTTTGCGCTGCTAACCCTGCTTGATTGAGTCGGCGAATAAAATCCGCAGCAAAAAAACCTAAGTTTAGATTTCAGAGAATCCCACCACTTATTCTCAACCAGACAATTCCCGCTATAGCATTAGTAAAATGATCCCGGAAATCCTGCTCACCAAATAATGGTGCGTTCAATTTCTAGTAACCAGCCATCTTAACATTAGGCTTCTCTAAGTTTACACGAACCCGGACAAGCCTATGATCCGAGTAAACAATAAAATGGAAACTTACGTCGACTCTCTTAACTAGAACTCGGTCGATGTAGCTTGCGCTCACCACCAAATCTGAGCTGCCGCCCTTAGTCAAATTCTATACTACCTCCCGGGGGTGCTCATTTCGATACTTATCAACGAGATCAAACCCATCGATAAAGTCCCGAAGCGGTTTAACATCCGTGTTGTTAGTACCCGATTTTTGCCCTATCCTATCTATATCGGGATCAAGGACGGCATTCCAATCACCCGCTAGAACTACTGAACCAGATGTCATCAAAATCGGTGCGATCTGCCGAAACAATTCAGACCGCTGCGCATTGTCATTGGGCGCATAAACCGCAATAAGACGAAGAGCCTTTTCTTTTATGGTAACATCCAACACTCAAATCCTGCCCGCCGAATCCATGAAGACAAGAGCACACGCCGCATCCAGAGAATTGCTCACCAGCTAGGAAATACCCAACGGGCGTCCATCAAAACATACTGAATAAAGAAAGAACCTCTTAGATAGAAAGTCCTCACGGTCGCGAGATAAAAAAAAATGGGTCTCCTGTACACAACAAACATACACCCCGAGGCACTGAAGATCGCGATCGAGCCTCGCCCTACGAGACTCCGACCTCAGGCCCCGGGTATTCAAACTTGCTAAACAGAGAGCCATTTATCAGGCCGATTAGGGTTGCTGTCCTGCACTGCCTCTCCTATAGTACCTGTTCCCATCTCACTCTTGAGGGTGCCATCGATGTCCAAGGGAAGAGTTAACTCTAGAGGAAACATGGGCGGAAACATTCCAAATACATGGTTTCTTTCCGCAACCATGGACCAAATATGCTGACCAGCCAAACCGGGGGGCGAACCACTGTTAAAACTCTTCTTGGATTTGGATGGTTTCGCGGGTCTTCTACATCCAAATAATTGATTTTTCTAAAATTTAAGAGCGTTTTTAATTTTTTCCGTTTTCTTCATTTTAACAGAACCTTATCTTCCATATCTTTAGAAACTCGGCACACGTCTTCCCCAGTCTAATAAATGGGTTTAGATTTTTTTTTGATTGATGCAGGATCGCTAGAGTCAGATGAAGGACTTCTTTGTCTTTTTTAATTTTCTAATTTTCTTGGTGAGTTTATAGGGGTTTGGACAGGGGATGGATTAGGGGTATTGGCTTGCTGAGGATTTGAGAATGGGAGCTTTCTTGAGGGTGGTCATTTTTGAAGGTGTGGGGGTTAGAGATTTTACGATGGGTGTAGGAGCCATGTGCTGTTTGACAGAAGAGGAAGACAGTGCCGAGAAAGAAGAGACAGTTTTTCCATGAACATGATGTCATTTCGTTTCCAAGGCTTCTGTCAGGTGTTGTTATTTTTCCGCTTTTTTGAAAGAAGGTTCATATTTTTTCAGGTGGTTGGCATAGATGGTCGGGAAGTAGCCCTTGGAACGGGTAGAGGAAGTGAGACTCTGTGTGTCTTTTGCCGTAAGGGCTTTTGTGGAACGAGGTCCAGCTGCGTGGAGCTACACTCTAGCTCTGCCAAGGACCTGCCATCCATCCTCTTCCTTCTCTGCGACCGCATAAGCGGCAGGCAACGGCGTTTCGGGGAATGGAAGCTTTGTGACGAACCCAACCGGGGGTTTTACCTCACCGGTTCTGGTCGCTGGCATGCCCATTACAGGCGAGACGGAAACAACAGACACGACCAGAAAGGTATTTGGGTCGGCGGGGGACAGATCTTCAGAATCCTTCTTCTCTGGGCAGGAAGAGGAGAGGTAACCAGTCTCTCCACACTTGCAGCATGTTAGTTTACGGCCGGTCACAATGACCGGCATTTTCTGGCCCTCTACATCTAGGCAGTTGGGGATGGAGATGAAGGCCTGTCGATCGATCATAATTTTGAAACTCCATCCCCTTGTCAGATCGTCAGATGAAGCTTCAAGTAACTGTCCAAACTTGGCAAAATAAGCAGCCAAATGCTCACCAAAGTTTTGAGGTGGGACCCTTGGTCATACGCCTGCCCTTATATTCAGTTCTTAGTATGAGGTATTTAGTTATTAAATCCCGACTGGACTTGGCTTCACAGTCGGCAGGCATGGATAACAATAAATCCCATATAAAGTATCCTTTGCCTTTAATGACTTTTGGGGTTGCACTCCCAGAGACGTCAATGTTTTAATTACGATGTCTTTTGTAGAGCGACAAATTTTGCGCGAACGCTTGTCCACCACAAAACTGACACAATATTTTTATCAACATCTGCAGTTCAACGGGATTAGCCAAGAGCCTATCTCTCGTCTCAAGATGCGCGTAACTCTTGGTTCTCTCGAGGAACTCCGTTATGTTGCATTTAGCTAAGGACTTCCAGCAAGTGAGCGTCTCCCAGACCGCTGCATTAACGTCATTGTTGGTCTTATCTTCCTTGAGTTCTTTAGCAATTTTTTCCTTTAAATTTTGGCCTTTTTCGGCCACCATACTTTTCTTTGCATCATTAACATAGGTATCCACCGCAATATTGGTATTATCGGACACTATACTGTTGTCTGTACTTTTTCCACGTCATTAACATTTTGACTATTCTCAGAATTTTGGTTATCCTCGGCCACCATAGTTTTTGTCTGTTGATCATTAATGTCGTCATTATCTTTTTACCTTTATCCGGAGGTTTTTTTCTTTTTCTTTGACCCGAAAAGTTTTTTTTTATTTATTTATTTATTTTTTTTATTTTTTTTGTCAGCCATATTGATATTCTATATGTAAAAAAACTTTTTCGTTTTTTTTTTGTTTTTTTTGTAAAAAAATGGGAAGAGGCGTTTGGAAGAGAAAAGTAAATAATAGACAATTAAACTTAACAAAAAAGAAACGACAAAAATAGACAGCATTAAATAAAGCTTAAATAAACAAGGTTCGCTTAAAAACCGAAACAACAAAATTAACCAGACAAAAAGAATACAGAAAATAGTAAGACGTACAAAAAATTACGTAAAAGACAGACGAGAAAGAATAAATGATAAACGCAAAGATAAAAGAACAGTCACAAAATAGACTTTAAACGGAAAAACAAAGGTTATACGTGCAAAGAACAAATAAATACAGCAATATAGACAAAAAAGAACGGTTAACAACAATAAACAAAAACGTTAAGCTACAAAAAATACGAAACATTCAATACGCCATAAAAAATTAACAAATTTTTCAAAATGGCCGCCGTTTTTCCGGGTTCGTGTAAACTCAGGAACAATAACAAAGACAGATTAAACAAAATTAATGTGAAAAGTTAACACAGAAAGATAAACAAGAAAACGCAGAAAACTTAAAAAGTATTTAAAAAGAAAAACAAATTAACATGTAATAAATAAAGAACGTAAGAAAAAATAAACACGTAAAAACAAGGGAAAACTAAGATTTTATGGGGGCGGGTTACAGAAAATTAAACAGGAATATAAATCAAATAAATAATAAAAGAAAAGAAACAAAAAATGGATAAAGTAAAATGAGGAACGGATGAAAAAAAGAAAAAAAATCAAACTTTTTGCAAAGAACAGTCGGTAAAAAAACAAACTTATCGAAATAAAGAGTTCAAAACAAATAATCGTTTACGCTGACAGAAATTTCTACTAAAAGAAAGAATTACCATTCGTATAAAGTCGGTAAAAAAAGGATCAATAATTCCAGAGACTAGAAATGCGATCGTTTACACGTCACGCGACTTCCTATGTCTGCGTTTCCGATATGGTCACGTGATCTACTTAATTCAATAATGGGACCGCTCTCTGGCTATATATGTTCAAACTCAAGTGTCGGCAGCGACACTTTATTCCTATATAACACAGTATGAAAATACTAGTGTTAAATTTGAACTTTTTTTTTTAAAAAACAATACCCCTTCAGGAGGCAGACGATCATGGCTCTCCACAGATAGCTTCTATTCATTATTCGGATATTCCATCCCCTCTCTTAGGAATAGCAGTGGAGTGATTTCTCGTAGCCTTCTCTTGGGTTGGAAAATAAAAACTAGTCTTCACTCTGAACAGAAGTAACCTTTTCCAATTTTTGTGTCCATATCCTACACTACACACATGGACAGCGGATCGAAATTGAAATCGGAGACCCGAGTTCGAATTCATTACAGTTATTTACGCAAAAATACCCTTGGGAAAAGGTATGATTCTAGATCTCCTCTTGCAAACTATGGATTAAATATCAGGGCAGGTTGGGCTCCTCAGCCATGATTGACAATCAGTCTAGGAAAAGAACAGGTATTAATTCAAAATCGTACTTTTGCAACAGTTCCGATATTTTTTTTATCAGACCCCGTATATGCGGGTTCGTAAGATAGAAATCCGAATAATATTTAAGAAATGAGGTAAAGGGTATTGTTATTTAGAGTGAGAGATATTATCATTAAAAGTGCTTTTCCAATTTGTCTCTCACACACAACAAATATACATTGTCATCCACAGACAGACTGTATGAAAGCTCATCAGTGTGGCTAGACGTTCGGTTGCCTCTAGCTAAGATCGAAACCCGACTGAATTGGCGTCAGTCGGGATTCTACCACTAAGCTGTTGGCGCATGGTAGGGATTAAGGAGAATTTAAGCGTATTTAATTTTAGATAAGCACACAGTGACTGAGAGAGCTCGATTCGATTTACCGAAGAGTCATGCATTATTAAGCGTAACAGTCACTGTTTACAAACCCACACTTCCCCCACTGTTGAGCTCAACCGAAATACATTTTTCAGAGATAGATAGATAGATAGATAGATAGATAGATAGATAGATATGAACAAATTGAGATAGATAGATAGATAGATATGGAGAAACTGAGATAGATAGATAGATAGATAGATATGAACAATTTAAGATAGATAGATAGATAGATATGGAGAAACTGAGATAGATAGATAGATAGATAGATAGATAGATAGATAGATAGATGCTTACTATAACTTCCAAACCTCATACCGTGAGTTTTCACTTTTTATTATGGATCTCTTTTTCTCCAATAATACACGATTTCATGACTTCAGCCCTACTTATAAATCATTATTATTTCTCTCCCTTTTTCTTTCTTTTTTTCTTTCTTTCTTTCTTTCTTTCCCCCTCTTTCTCTCTCTCGCACACACACACACACACACACACATACGCATATACACACGATCTCTTAAACTAGTACAGTCCCAACAGAATCATGATTTACGGTAAGCCTACATATATAAACAATCATTGTTTAATTGCATAGCCGTTTCCTGGGATGTCCCATTTAATCAAGATATATTCATCGACAGCGTCTCAATTTATGATTAAAATTTTCGAGAAATAACGGAAAAATAATTTTGCAAATTATCATAATCTCTGCGGTTTAAGGCTAAAATATATTTTATACAATATAAAATCTAATTAAAATTTTAACCATACTTCAAACAGTGTTAAGCTTAAGATTTGGATAACGTGAAAAAATATTTACTCGTTTGATATATTCTCGTATCTTATAGTGATAGATGATACATTCCTCTTGGGAGTCGATTTCACAGAGTGGATAATAAGTCTTCCTCGAAAAGACTGGATAAATTATGAAGCTCGGAAAGTGAGGATTGGGCAGTTCCAGTCAAGATATGGTCACGATTCTCCATTTTTGGTGGAGACATAATTCTAAATACAATGGAACAATGGACATTAAAACAGATAATGATTAAATTCTTGAGCTAAATCTAACGTCTTACTCAGATAATGGAAATATATCAGTGACCTGACTCAGATAGTGGAATCTTTTTTGAGCGTCCTTTCTTTCTTAAACAGATATATTCATCTCGAAGATAATTCCTCGTTATTTATAAACTGTGTAAGGTTAGATTTTGTCTTTGTGTCCCCCAGCTTACATTAGTCGAAGAAAACATTTCAGCCTGTACAGCTGGTATTTACTCACCCGAATCTCACGGAAGCGGGATGTGACACATGATCTTTTTTATTGTAGGTTCCTCATTCGCGTACAAGTAGTTCCCGTGTGCATTGTCACGCTGGTATCAGCATTTCAACGCCCCCTCTCACTTTTTAATGCAATGTCGGCAGGGCTTCCGTTGATTCTGAATTGCTCAATGCTTTTATCGTGACAGAAATATGGAAGAGAGTTGAAGAGCAGATAGTGCTCTTTGAAGCCAGTCCGAAGGCCAAGACAAACCGTATCTCTATCTTAAGAAGGCTTTGCGATCTCTTTTATCAATGTTATTAACAAATGACATTTAAGACTTAAACAGCACTATCTAGTTCTGGACAAGAATATTCGAAAAACATATTTTCATAAATATTTCATTTGCGTTAATTATTTTTTTTATTCAAATTTTAAAACTTTCCATATGTTTCTGTCTATAAAGTTATTTTTTCCTGACCGCAATGTAGTTGCACAGAAAAAAATTATATCTTGTCAAAATTTAGCCGTAAGTTAGGAAACAATATTCGTAATAATAAGCATCACTGGCGCCTGATATTTCACATTTTTATCCCGAATATGAATATCTATGTAGCCAGCAAAGCCCGCCTTTTTCTTAAAATATTTGCATATTATAGAGATAATTTAGGACGAAATATGTTGGTTAATTTCTGCAGATTAAAGGAACAATGAAAAAAAATCATAAGCGTAATCAAAAAGGCTCGAATTTTCGCACTAACAAAAACTAGAGATGGCAACAAAGCAATGATTATAAACTTAACTTAAAGTCGCTCAATTAATATCTAGAAACGCATATAAAAAGTTTTGGCATGGCTTTCGCAATCTTCTTCTCCGTGTCACGTCCCTTCAGTAGTCAACGACAAGGTGAAAGTTATATTGGCAAGAAAGTAATCTTCAAGTTCTTCATTTCGATATGTTTGCCACAGGAAAAAAAAAAAACATATTTAATTTTGTCAAGCGTGAGACACTGATATATAGATGATGAGGTCGGATTATGTCCAAAGTGAAATGGAACATTGCCGCCAGCAGAAAAGCATACTCCGGTAGAAATTACAAATCGTATTTACCAAGATTAATGGGTGCATATATCTGCTTGTGCTCACGTAAAATACCAACAACTTGATAGTCGGTAATCATATATATATATATATATATATATATATATATATATATATATATATATATATATATATATATATAAAAAAAAACAGTAAGATATATAATCCGGTGTTCTTATAGATATTTTTATTTTTACAAAATAGTGCTCAATGTAAATTTACAGAGCATTAATATTATAAATTAATTGATTTAAAATATGTTTTTCGCTACACAGTTCTAACCAAGTTTCAAAAATGGAAGCTAAAAGCCCTGAATTTAATTTTGTAATTAAATTAAAGACATTAGTTCCATTTCATTCTCAAGCGGTCTAATTAGCGAATTTAACACTGATAAAACAGATAGCGAATTTAATTTTGTAATTAAAGACATTAGTTCCATTTCATTCTCAAGCGATATTCGCTTGAGGATGAAATGGAACTAATGTCTTTAATTTAATTACAAAATTTAATTCGGAGCTTTTAGCTTCCATTTTTATAAAAAACATAGTTAGGACTGTGTAGCGAAAAAGCATATTTTAAATCAATTAATTTATAATATATATATATATATATATATATATATATTTAGAGAGCAAATTCTATTTTAGGCATGTCTGGGTGAATAAATTACTGACGTTACATCTGCTAATTTTTAAAAGAATCCGTTCATACACACGAATAATCTTCCGTATATTGATGTTAAAGAGTGAGAAATATGTGCTATAGTTGTTTAAATGTATTGGAAAATGAAAATAAAAGAAATTTAAACAGCTAAAGCACATTTTTCTCATCCTTTAACATAAATACCTGAAAGATTATTCGTGAGTAAAACTGATTTTATTAAAAATTAGCAGAAATTATGCCAGTAATTTAGTCAATCACACACACACACACACACACACACACACACACACACACATATATATATATATATATATATATATATATATATATATATATATATATAATAAAATGCACATTTTAATTAAATTATATATAATTCTTTAGGTGCAAGCATCTGTTTTATATTTTTCTTGGTTCTTGGAAGAATATTGGTAAAAATATGTATGTCAGTGTGTAAAAAGTTTTCTTGCGAATCATTCCGTTTTCAGGGTTTCATCGGGCTAAGTTTTAAAGGAAAGAACGCTTCACACGAAAGCGTTTTCCATTTTTCACACACACACAGATAGATAGATAGATAGATAGATAGATAATGAAGAGACTGCGATAGATAGATAGATAGATAGATAGATAGATAGATAGTGAAGAGACGGTATTTATCAATTCAACCACAGGAATTGAATGTGGCACAAGGCCTTTTTAATGTGGGTATTTCTGAGCCCGTAGGCCCAGCCAAAAATAAAACCCATCTAAACCCGTCCAAGCGGGCTAGTTCCGTCAACCTCCCCGAACGAAACCCCACCCTTCGGCGGAGCTTCGTCAGGGTTCCTCTCTGCAAGCAGAGAGTTCGACAGACACCCGGCTCGGCAGCTCACAAAGCACAGATACTACACTTTGATCCTAGCCACCGGGCCGAGCGGGTATTCTTTTTTGAGATAGTGAAGAGACTGTGATAGATAGATAGATAGATAGATAGATAGATAGATAATGAAGAGACTGTCAATAGAGGCCTCAGATTTCATGCGTACATGTTTATCAATACCAGTTAAATCCTTGTTTTTCCCGTTAGCACCGGGACGGTTTGGCATGTCTAGCTAGATACGGGCTTTTCTGCAACTGGTCAAAATCCGGCTGTGTATAAGATGCCATATTGCCCCAAAAAGCTGGTCTAAAACAGCACTCGGCAAGACACGGTGTCTTGTCAAGCTGGTCTCGTGGGTATTTTGTCCCTCAAGTTGCTGTGGTTTCAAAAGCAGATTTTTTTTTATTTCTTACCTGACGTCTCTTTTCTTCTCTTAGCCACGTAATTGGTGGGGCAGCAATCGCTTACGTATTCCCCACCAATCTCTACAGACTGTTTCCTTACATTTATCAATATATATATATATATATATATATATATATATATATATATATATATATATATATATACAGAGAGAGAGAGAGGGGGAGCAGAGAAAGACTCAGTGCAGACATGGGAATTAACAGTATATAATAACTGCCTGTTTCACGCCTCTGTGCGTTCTTCAGAATATCCGAAGAACGCATTGGGGCGTAAAACTGACTGTCACCATGCTCTGTTGATTCCTATATCAACACTGCCTATATCTATAAACTCTTTATCTCAGATACTGTTCACTCCTAAATATATATAGGAATAGGAATTTTAAAACTACATTCACAGGTTATTTTCAGTATTATACTTGAAACTTTCTTTCTAATTATTAAAGACAGATGGCACCAAATACATACATACATACACGCACGCACACGCACACACACACACACACATATATATATATATGTGTGTGTGTGTGTGTGTATGTATGTATGCATTCGTACGAACGCATGCACGTGCACACACACTGTGAATAAAAATTGTACCAACAAAAATTGCATACAAAAAAAGATAAATTTTGAAGAAATAGCGGTCATTTGCTGATACCCACTGACGAGTGGCCGAAATGATTACTGCAGCATTCGTCTACGAAACTCTGGAGTCTGGAGTCGAGTAATTAACATCTATCAGCTTAGTGACAAACATTTTACTTGTATTAATTGTCTTTTTCTGTTTCTCTCTGTTATACTTGAACATACCTATTCTATTGTAAATAGACTCTCCCACCTATAATAAGTCGTAGTAATAGCAGTCGCCAGCGAGCTCGGTGAGTTGGGGAGTCAGTCGATGTCGGACATTAAAGTTTCAGCCACCACAACTAGATTGCTGCGTCATTAACTATTTTTTCAAGTTCCTAACGTTTTGTACGTCGAACCTATTTTAGGACCGACTGTGAAAACTACTCTACAACACACACACACACACACTCTCTCTCTCTCTCTCTGTGTATATATATATATATATATATATATATATATATATTCAGCTAGCATATATATATATATATATTTTGCATCTAATTTTGACTACTAATCTCAAACAGTTGACTAACATTTACGACGTCTGATTTCAAACTATTATTCAAATCTTGACATATTATTTTTATTTTCTTCACCAGTACGTGTTTTGCGCATGCGTCTTTTTCGAAATTTACTACGAGGACAATATATTCGCGGAGTATTTTGCACATCAGCAGAAATGTCATGATTTAATGAAATAATTTTTTTTGTCTGTACGGAGAATTCAATAAGCTAGTGATCCACATCGAATATTAGGAAACCAATACATGGAAGTTTTAAATTTAGTAGACATAATTAAGTATAAGTTCATTCTGTTAACCAAAAATATTTGCTTTTCTTTGGGAGTGGATGTAAATTGCAAGCAATTCTAGCCAATTGCTCTCACCCACATTCTCCATTTGCTGCCGTTCGAAAAATTTCTCTCTCTCTCTCTCTCTCTGAACGATTCTCAATTCATTTCTCTTTCCCCAGATACACATAGTGCACAGAGATATAACCAAAACCAGAATAGAACAAATGTATTTTTGAATTACATTTCAAACTTGACCACAACATTGTGAATATACCAAAGGAAACTTAATAGACACCATCCGAGGATAATGGATAGCGACTCGGATTGAAGAATCGAGGATCCGAGTTCGAGTTAATCTCATGAGAACCAAGAAAAATATAGATGCTTGCACCTAAAGAATTATACATAATTTAAGTAAAATGTGCATTTTATATATATATATATATATATATATATATATATATATATATATGTGTGTGTGTGTGTGTGTGTGTGTGTGTGTATATATATATATATATATATATATATATATATATATATATATATATAAGAAAAATATATGGAAAAACAAAATCGAATCTGCAAATATGCTGTTTTAATGTTATTTCAATGTCGACGTCAGACGTTTCGGTCTAGTAGACCTTCTTCAGGACATAGTTATTAAAACATAATTAACATTAGACGATATTCAAGTCAACATGAAAAGACTATAGACATAAGAGTAAGACTAATCAAAACAGAATATATCTGAAATTTTTAAGATCAGCGTTCGATTTCACCGAAACGTCTGATGTCGACATTGAAATAACATTAAAACAGCACATTTGCATATTCGGATTTTTGTTTTTCCATATATTTTTCTTCATGCTGTCGGATCTATATCCATATATTTGCTTACATATATATATATATATATATATATATATATTTAATTAATTCATCGAGTCTGATAGAAACCTCAACAGAATGCAGAAAGCACTGGACGGCCGTTTCGTCCTACATTTGGGACTCATCAGCAGTGCGCATCCACTACCCAGAATTGAAACCCTGGCAGTTAGGTTGTCAAGCGAACACCATACCAACTGTTCCAAATGGGCCTCGGTGACGAAGAGATTCCAAATCAGACTCAACATAGCGCCGCTCGCTCACATATTCCGTGGCGGAACCCAACTGAGCTCTCTTAACCATAGGACTGTGCTCCCCGGAGCCACGACTACTCTCACCAAGCCGCTCCCTCCAGAGCATTAGAAGTCGGTTCAAGCGATGATAAACACAGATAGTAATTAGTAGGAGGATTTGATATATATATATATATATATATATATATATATATATATATATATATATATATATACGTTGATTTTCTATATATTTTAGCCTAAGCAAGGCAATAAATACCACTAGCATGCAAGGGGTTACTGAATGGGGAAAGCAACCCAGAGGACAATAATATAACAACATTCAAAGAAACAGAAGATAACGATTGACATTGCATTTATATTTTTGAAGGTCATAGAATGCTGGAAAGCAAGAAGCCGGGAGAGTGTCCCAGAAGCAAGAAGTGCGAGAGAAGTAATTGGCAGCATAGAACTTAGGGTTACACCGAGCAATTTCGACGGCGATATTATGAGACCTCACTGCCAATCTAGTACTGCGCTTAAATTCAGAAATTCTAGAAAACAATGGGGGAAGCGCATCAGAAATATCATCGTAAAATTATTTGCAGAAAAGGCAAAGTTCAACTACATGACAATGGTGGGAAAGCAACTGAAGCTGAGATGCCAGGTTAGGACCGATAACGTTTCGGATTATTCATTGAATTCCTTCGCAAATTTTCTTTTTCTTTTTCTTCTAATTCTTTATAATACATCCAGTTCTGACATCGAATTGAAAATACTTGCGTATAAGCAACCAGACTCACCCACTCATACACATACTATTTCTATATATACTTTACATGGACGGAATATAGTATGAAGGAAGTATAAAGAAAAATAGAAACGAAAAAAAAAATCACATATACTTACAATCAGAAAGAGGCAACTGAAATATTTGGGACATAAAATGAGGGATCTTCGTGACATCGCACCATACAGAACAAACACGAACGTTCCCTACAATAGAATGCTTGTCAAACTGCAAATGTGTAGATCTGTCCCAAACATAAGTTAATTTACTCGCTTAACATCTCCTAATGAGTCACCCACCTAATCATAATGGATATTAATCTTGCAAATATTCTTACGAAATTTTAAAATCACAAAACATTCTCCATGCAGACAAGGGTGCATTTAATCAGGTGTCATCGATAGAATTATTGACAATCAACAGCTGTTAAGCTAAATGGTCAGGTTATAATTCAGGGTATAAGAGAAATAACGGCATATATGAGAGTAAAATGATTGTCAAGAATGAGAAAAAAGAAAAAAAAATAGAAAGAGGATAATGGGAAGGAGGTAGAAAAAAGGTCGAAGGAAAGGGGTAAAGAGAAGAAAAATTAGGAAAGAGAAAGTAGAAAAGATAGATGAGAAGGAAAAGGAGAAGGAGAGAGGGAGGGAGGGCGAAGGGATATTTGAAAAAAAAGTGATGTAGAAATCTTGTTTTCTGTCTCTTTCTTTCCTCTCATTTGTTCTCCTACTTTCTCCTTCACAAATCCCCCCTCTCTCTCTCTCTCTGTCTGTCTCTCTCTCTCTCTCTCTCTCTGTACGATTCTCAATTCATTTCTCAGATACAGACACTCACACATATACACACACGTACGCAGAGATATAATTAACACCAGAATAGAAGAAATGTATTTTTGAATCACATTTCAAAGTTGACCACATCAATTTGAACATACTAAAGGAAACTTAATATACATCAGTATATATTCGAGGCACGGTGGCGTAATGGACAGCGGCTCGAATTGAAGAATCGGGGAGTTCGAATTCCAGTCGAATCCATTACTTTCACTTACATGCTAATACCCGTGAGAAAGGTATGAATCCTACCCCCACCCACATCTATAAAACAAAATATGGGTTCTATAGCCTTGGATGCCAAATGGTCTACTGAAGAAACAAATGGCAATTTATTACGGGAAAAAAATCTGCCTCGTTAATCATGTATCGAAAGATACATGATCGCCTAAACGTGTATCACGCATGGCACATAACTAACTGACTGATATATCCGAACGTTACAAAGTCTGTCTCCTAACCTAAACGACAACAAACCTAGTGATGAAGAAGTCAAGAAATTTAGAGAAAAAAATAAATAAATAAAAATAACGAAGCTACACTTGATATTTCGGTCGAACTTTTGAATGTAATACAACCTTTCACGAAGTAAAAATAAGCTTCCCGGTTTTTGAAGGAGGTCTTTTATAAAAAAAAGTACATCCCACTACAGTCGGGGATATCATGTAAAAACAAAATATAACCGCGAAAACCCTCGCATAGAAAGAGGTATCTCAATTAAAATCCATTAAAATGAAATTTGCAATGAATATTTTATTAACTAGACTTTCACTATTCGATGGAATTTAACTTACTAACGATCCAATTTTGATTTCGTTCTGGTAAAAGGTACAGTGGCGGCAAATATTTGCCATGAAACAAGTGCTGGAAATTGCATACATACCAATTAGAAAATTGTTTTCCTTTTATGTCGTCCCCACAGCAGTATATGACTATATCAATACTCATCAATTTCTCATCGATCTGAAGCCTTTCTCGATCACTGACATCACTACATACTTTGATGTGATAGAGTAACTATGTCAGTCCAAAAATTCGTATATATCTGTTGAAGACCCAAATACCGCATCCTTTCAAATCTCATCAGATGCAAGACAAGGTTGAAAATAAAATTGAGTTTTACGGTTTATCAACACACACATTCATATTCCAAAACACACACGAACACACGTTCATACTCCAAATACTCACACATTAAAATGAAATTTGTAATGAATATTTTATGAACTAGACCCTCAGTATTTTATGAAAGTTAACTTCTAACGATCCAGTTTGGTTTTTCGTTCAGGTAAAGAGTATAGTTTTGTTAAATTTATGTCACAAAATAAGTACATTAAATCGCAGATATGCCGAATGGAAAATTGATTTCCTTCAGATTTGCCTCACTTGCTTTTGGCAAACAAAAGCCTGTTAGAGGGTGCTCTTGAAATCTATAAAAAGACAAACATTTCTTTTATCTTCCTCTTTTCAAATCTAGGTTCAGGATGTAGTCAAACGTAAGAACCCAGCCGCTGAATAACGTCCGTTTTCCTTCCTCTGTTGACGTTTTCACTCTGTCTTACACACTCATATACACACACGTGTCTATCACAAACGTTTATTTCACGCACACATACATAACAAGCACATTCTCATAACGAGGTTCATTTTTTTCCTTTCATTACGATTATGTACACATACAAATTGCTTTTGTTAATAAATGCATTAATCGTCGCTTGTTTTAAATTCATTGTTGTGTTAACTATCTTTACGCGGATTATTAATTATTACGGGAAAAATGTTCCAAGAGCCCATGAATATTCACTATAACTCTTCCAACGCAAAGAAGTGATAAATCAACATCCTGTTATTTTGATTCCACAGCAGTATATGACCACATCAATAGAGGCATCAATTAATCATCCATCTGAAACCTTTCTCCAACTATCGACATCACCGAATACCTTGATCTGATAGAGGAACTACATCGGTTCGTAAAGTCGTCTATATCTGGGGAAGACCCAAACACGGAATCTTTTCAAATCTCATCAGACATAACACAAGGATGGGGCACCTAGGCCTGGTGTAATGGTTAACAAGCTTGTCTTGCTAGACCAGTTATGACTAAGTTCGACCCTCAGTGGGTAGCTCATATTCTCGGCTTTGTGCCGCATCTAAGCTATGCTTAAAAAAAATAGCCATAACACAAGGTTAAAACTAAGACTGACTCGTGATTTTTACGGCTTATTCTGGTAATTTGATACCAGAAAATATTTTTAGATTTTAAGAATATTTGGGATATAATAAGTATTTACCGATATAAGTCCTACTAACTCATAACTGGAGGAGGGAGAGTAGATGTATTCATACCTTTCCCAAGGGTGTTTGCGTGTAAGTGAATATAAAGAAGCCGAGTGGAATTGAAACTCGGCTCGCTGATTTCAGATTCTGAGCTACCATCCGTTAC